AACTTGAACACCCAGCTGAACTCAACCAGTGTGGTGCTGGGTGTGGAAGGCCCACTTGAGGATTATTGCCGACAGCATAAAAAGAGAACTGGAGAGGAAGGTGGTGTATTGTTGATTCTCCTGGAGAACTTTGTCACACTGGTTTGTGTGATAAGAACTCAGCTTTTCTCATTATCAGAGGAGCTCCAGTCCTCGCTGTTGCTGAGGAAGGGTGTGGTTCTTTGGAGGGGAGCTCTGGTCCTTACCTTGAACGTCACTTCCTGGCTCCAGTGCAGATCCCTCAGCCTGCTGGCACAGATCCTTCGTCACACTGGTGTAGACTTTCTAGCTTCTACCACTGACCTCTTGGCCTTCCCAGTGCAGATCCTTGATACAGACTTACATGAGACATTGTCATGGGCTCTAGGCCTCCAGTTGAACTTGTGGAGGACATTGCCATGGGCTCTACATCTTCAGCTGGACTCGTGCAGGACCTTGCCATGGGATCCGAGCCCTCAACTGGATTCTTGAGGTCTCTAGTGTGTGGGTGGATCTCCTGTACTCTTTTGTACTTGACTCTTTGGGCGACTATTATAACATAATCTTATAAATTATGTGTCCTGTATTACATTCCTTTGTAAACCCTGACTACAGCAACTTTGTTTTCTTTTCTTTACTTTCTCCTTTATGCATCTGCTTAATTTGCTTCCTGTCTGTCTCCCCCTTTAAGCACTCTGTGGATGGGGGGCCAGGGACTCTGGATCCAGTGCTTAGAACACAGCTTGGCACATAGGAGGCTCGGAGAACCATTTTAAGAGAAGAGCAGAAGTGGTGTAGTTAGTTTGAATTCTGCAGTCTGATTCCCGAGCCTGCGTCCTGAACCATTATACATATTGTTCCTATTCCATGACTTACTTAACTGTTTTGCATATTCAGCCTTCCTGCCCACTCAGTTAGGTTCTACATCTCTGCACTTTTGCTTTTGTGGGCACCTGGCTTTGGCATGCGTCCCAGCATGTGTGCCGGTCTCTGACTCAAACCAGCAGAAGGCCAAGCGTGTCTATGGCCATTAGGTGGCGCTGTTGGGAAGGGGAAAGTGGTCCCCAGTGGCTTATAAAAGAGGGCTGTTTGGGAGTGAGACTGGCTGGGGAAAGGGAAAGTGGGGGAGATCGAGGTGAGGTCTTACCATCCACAAAGCCTGTCTCTTCTTCCAGCACAAGGCAGGTGGCTATGGGAGAGAAAGAAGAGTAAATGGGGACAAGGCCCATCTTGCTGCCCATTGGGCCAGGGGTCCTGGGGTTAAGGATGGCAATGGGGATGGAGGCACTGGGGGTATCTCCACTATACTACCTGCCTGAATCAAGCCCTGCTAGTGCGTACTTACGCAGGACTGCCCTCATGCCTGCCTGCTGATCTAGTGCTTCTGCTGTAGGGCTGATCACACACACATACAGACACACATACACACAGGTGCCAAGTGGGAGAATATCAGTGGGACAGGCACCAGGCAATAACCCTTCTGCGTTCTCAGTTCTCCTGGGAGACTTCTTGGGCTGCAAATTATCCAGAATGGGGAGTCTGGTCTAGGTTTCCTCCATGTTCCCACCACACCAGGCATCATGACTTACACATGTGAGTACATGATTAGGATAATCCACCATCCTAGTTTATCCAGAACTGAGTGGGTTCCCAGGATGCAGGACTTCCAGGGTGAAAAATGGAGTAGTCCCAGGCAAATCAAGATGAGCTGGTTGCTTTATCAGTACAAGAGGCCCCTCAGCTGATCCCTGAGGAGCAAATCCTCCTTTATCCCTGCCTCAGAGACTGCTGGTTGACTGACTGTGAGGCTGTCCTAGATATCCATGTGGTCCTCCCTGTGAAGTCAGGTAAAGAGTTCAGTGTTGCCCAGGGGCTGTCTCTGGAGCTCTCAGGCAGGCACGAGACAAGTCTTCACACGTCGGCAGCTGCATGAGGACCACATGACCAGTCCCAGTGTGTGGAGCCCAAGTGACAGGCTGCAGGGGCCTCCCTGTGTACTTAGAAAATGGACTTGGCTTCATGGAAGGCTTTCTGGAGGTGCTTTATGGGTCATCAGACTGTGCAGGAGGCTCCTGGGTGGAGAGAGGAAGGTACAGGTAGAAAGGAGTCTGTGTTGGGTTGTCAGGTAGAAAAACAGATAGGTCACTTGGCCCCAGAAGAGAAAGGAGATCCAGAGGACAAAGAAATAAAAATAAAGGGGAGAGGGGCAGGGAAAAATCCCAGTGGAGAAGACTGGGTTTGCAAGGCAGTGAGGAATGACTATAAGGTGCTAACCGGGGCTGGAGGATATGTGACCACTCAAAACAGACTTAGAAAATCCTGAATCTGGAGGAGCCACTTTCTGTCGCTTACCTGATCTTGTTTTTTTAGCTTCAAGCTGTGTTCATACACTCTGCTGGTCCCTAGGAATTTGGCTATTCTAAGAAGCCCCCCAGTTTTTTTAGAGACCAGTGGACTTCCTGTCTCCTGACCTTGGGGTCAGAACTTTTGAATCTCCCATCCCCTGGCAGATCCCTCTCCAAGACCCACTTTTGCTTAAGAGTTAAGAGTTGCACAAGTGTTAGAATTAGAGGCTTTGGGAGAACTATCACGCCCTCATTTGCTCACCTCCATGTCATGGGACACAGTGTGTAGACAGCTCTTGCTACCATCAAACAGACCTCAGAATGTTCTTTAGCTAAGATAAAATTCATAACTTCTGTCCTTAGGTCTAACTCTGTCCTTTGGTGGTTCACATTCGTTGCTCATAAAAGTACTTAAAATATTTGAGGACAGCCTTCCTGCTTTCTGGGATATTTTCTTCTCTGAACTAAATATAAGTTTCTGATATGAAAATACGTTAGGCCATTGCTCTCATCCCCAAACCATCATGAATTGGTAGAGTCTGGCCCACACCTTAGCAGAGGGGTTTCTCTGTAGATACATATTGACTGAATGGGAGAATCCATTTCACCCTCCTTTGAGCTTCCCTCATAGTAGGTGGAGCCCATAGGCCCACAATTGTCACTTACTGAGCTAACTGTCAACTAGAATCAATCAGTCTGCTTGGTTGTGCTCCTTATCCTTCTCTGAAAGGCTTCAGTCCAGACACAAACAGCTGGAGGAGCCTGGCTGCTATGTGCATGGTTCTAGCTATGGCCCCGTCTCAAGGCTTTGTGGCTGTGGTCTGCATCTGTGTAATGTGGGACCAGGTTCCAGCAGTAGCACCTCAGAGGCGGAGTGGTAGTTCCCATGACAGCTAGGTGAAGGTCTGCTGGCTGGTTGATGTTACTCTCTTTATCAGCAGTCTGCAGGTTTGTCACCTTGCCATCTGCTGAGGCCTCCTCAGTAATCACCAGGTTGTTCCTCTGTCTGATATGCTGGTCTCTCCCTGCTCATTAGCCCTGTACTGCCTCTTAGTCTGTGGGTGTCTGATCTCTAACTGTGCTTGTCTTTAAGAGCAGAGAACAAAGATGTTTATTGGATTTGAACCAAGGTAGAAAAACGTCTGTGTGCTTTCCTCAGCCCCAGCGGAAACTTCACATACAGAGACACTCCTTGAAGCCTCCTCGGGGTGCAGCCCTAGGGAGCAGCTGGGACCATGGTGAGCACCTGGGCCTTGGGGATCAGCTGGCTTATTCCAAAGTTGGGTGTGGATGAGAAAGCCTATTCCAAGCAGGTAGAAGGCAAGAGAACTATAATTCATGTAGCTAGAGATGTTCAGGGATTTGAGATGTCCAGGAGGCTTTTGGAAAGACACCAACCACCTGTTTTGGCATCATTTCTTTAGAACCTAGCATGCATGAAGCCTGGCACTTGGCAAGTGATCAGGTAGCACTTATTAGATAGAGGAATGAACCAATGAGAAGATGGTTTCTAGAAATTTCTTTTGGTGGCATGTGCACTTTTGTCTGATGAATGAGAGTTCTGTTCAGTAGTTAGAATGACTTGAGTTAGAATCCTCACTTCATCATTTACTGGTTTTGTGAGACCAGATAAGGGCAGCTGAGCTCCCTGAAGCTGCTGCCAGGATTCCCTTAGGGAATGGCCGTAGAGCTCATAGCCTAGCACAACGCCTGCAAACTCAGTGAGTGTGTGGTGGTTCTATATATGTTGTCTCTTGAAGCCTTACTCAAATTATGCACAGTTCTATCCTATCCTAGGACGTCCCTATGACCTAGAGTCCATTGTGATTTCAGTGCCTCAAGGCCCTCACTTCAGCTAACAGGTGAGACATAGGCCCCATATGACCTTCAGGGAGGGGTCTTTTTCTCATACTGACTTAGTAGGGAGAGTATGGGGAGAATGGATCAGAAGCTCCTTCTCCCTTCGGGAGGCTGAGTCTTGACCTAGCTTGCACTTGGCCCAGGGTAGATCTCAGGACACTGCTGAGGAAGCAGCCTTTTGCTCTTTCATGTCAGTCCTGTTTTCCTGTGGCCCTTCCACATAATTCAAGTGCATAGTCTGCATTTCCTCAACAGGCAAAGAAGCACCAGTGCATGGGCAGGCTAGCCAGACTGCCAGGCTTTCCTGAAATGACCAGATGGCAGGGCTGACAGATTTGGTCCTTGAATCTGTGTTCATCTCAGAGGCATGTTTAGTTCTTCTCTCCAACATGAGAGCTATGTTTCTAGGTGTGATGGGTTGATTTAGGACAGCTGTAACCCAATTTCCCCCTTCCTCATTTCAGTCTTTTCCTCTGGAAAGCAAGGTTCAAAAGGGAAAGATGCTGTAGTGGAAAGAACCTAGAGCTGACATCTTGATGAGAGCAGGCCTGAGCCTTCTGCTGTGGGTTCTCATAGGTAAAGTGTGTGCATGGGTGAGCCTGGGAGAGGCTGTGAGTGAGGTGGTCCAGGTGATCCTTTCAGTGTTGATATTCTATGTACTTGTGAGGTCTGGTTTTATTCCCACTTCAGATTCCCTCCCAAAGGAAGAAAATAAGCACCACAAGGACAGCAGATGTTTGGGTGGTGGGTAGGACAGAGCGCACACCAAGTCAGATATCAGCCTTAGCATCAGCTTTATTATGTATTTTACCTTCACCTGGGAGAATAAGGTGAGGAAGCTGGAGAACAGACCAGCCTGTATCACAGAGCCATAAATCACATCTCTGCAGAGTGTACATGATAAAAATGAAGGGCCTCAAACAGACCAGCTATGAAGTACAAAGATCGACAGAGACCCAAACATCCCGTCTTGTATTTCCTTGTTGGCTGTTTGAACCTAATCATTTATATAATTTTGTTTCATTTCTGAAAAGCATACCCAACATTACTGTGTCCAATCATTGTTTCTGTTAGGGGCAGAGAAAAAAGTACCCAAGTTTTGATTTTTGCACCATAGCCAACCTCTTCTTAACACTCATGGTTGTAGCAGTGAGGATAAACACAAAGTCCATCAGAGTCAGATTGTTGTGAGGCTTGAATGAGACCCCGACATTCTAAAAGATAATCAAGTCACCTTTCATCATTATACACCAAGGGCTGGGTGAAATTTTGCCCCAAGGGCCCTGTGTTAGGCTTTGGTGGTCTCCTTCATAACCACACCATTCCTACATTTGAGATCTTCCAGCAGGCTGCTGAGAACAATGCTTATTCACAGAGGTTGATAAAATACATAGAAAACTGTCTTCAGAAACCAAGTCCTGGAGTACTGAGGAAGCCAAGAGGCAAGAAGGTACATTGTACACAGAGGAAAAGGTCACCAGAGTTGGGGATGGGATTGGGTTTTCATCCATTGGCCATGTTCTTGACTCCGGGTGGCATATCAGCAGCTACTTCCCCTTGCCAGTGGGCGAACACTTCTCCTGGACTTTCTGTGGGCTCATCTCCACACATTTTGCCTGGGCTAGCTCCTGGCATGGCTCCATACACTGAGGCAGACATTGGTCTTGGCATGGATCTTGGACTCGCTGTGGGCAGTTTTCTTGGGTTAACTCCGGGCACTGAGACACACATACCTCTTGAGCTTGTCCTAGGCCCTTCTCTTGGCAAGGGTCCTGCTGTTGGGGGAGGCACACATCCTTAGCCTGTGCCTGACACTGCTCTTGGGTCTTTTGAAGACATGATGGGGGCGCACATGGCTGCTTGTACTGCTGGTCACTGAAGGACATACTAAGGTGATTTGTAGAGCCTGAAACAAACACAAGATTTAAAATGATCTGCATTAAAAAATGCCAGGCTGGGAAATGGGGAACGAAGGATTGAGAGAAGGAAAGAGGGTTATTAACTTTAAGAACTCATTTCTCTTCTACTCTTTATCCGTTTCTCTGTCTGCCCCTGCTTCATTCCTTTCTAACACTCATTGACAAGGTGAAAGTATTCTCATAGCTTTTGTCTGGAAAGCCATAATCCCCAAAGCTTAGGCCCATCTCTTTTCTTTTTCTTCTCTTTTACTAATCCTTTTGAAAATCAGCAACAAGAGCCTAGATAGAATACAGAAGGTAGTTATCGATGCCCGAGAAATGATAGACCTCTTTAAAATGTCAGTAGAAAATACACTCCAGGGGAAGAACAGAACTGTGGTCTCACAAAGATTGAGCAGCAGGGAGAAAGAGGGCACAGATGTCTCCACTTACCTGATCTTCAACAAGATTCAACCAAGGATGTGGATTGTGGAGCATAGCAAGGTGGGGGACTTTTATACAGTGCCTGGTCTGTCCTCCTGCGGGCTGATGGGCCACGTGGCGCTGAAGTCCTCGTCTTGGCGTCACCACAACGAGCTTCCTCTGAAATCACAGATGGTTTGAGTCACTGCTTGGGATGCCTGTTAATCAGCCAGAGTTTTGGCCTCTGGGTCTTCACCAGACCTCAGCAGGGAGGGGCTCCTGTCAGATCCCTTTCATTAGAGGCAGCAGAGAAAGAATGTTCATAAAATGTTATCTCAGTCTGTTAAACCACGGGTTGAGGCATCTTGTCTACCCAAGCTCATTCAGGATGTGGTGAGAGATAAGATCCACCTTGCTCATCTCATCTTTACCAATGAGAATACTTTATGTCTAAATCCCAGGTCTGTCTGGGCCCAGGGTTCATATAGCAAGGTTCAGACATTCCCATTAGATACCTCTTTGTAGAGCCTGGAAAGTCACATTTCCAGACCCAAGGAAGATAGTTTGTCTTGTGGTTCCAAGCAAATAAAAAGGATATAGCTTCCCAGATAATGATTTTTCCTACAAATAGGTCCTGAGGGAAATTGGGGTCATTTGTCCTCTTGCGTTGGAAAGTGGGGTAGAGGGAGAGGACAGGCAATATTCATCTTCTCAACCTTGATTTATGATACCTTCTGAAAGTGGAGTCACAGAGTTTTCATGGTGGCCAAGAAGGCAGGTCACAACAAGTTGAGCTCATCCCCTTGCCTTCTGAAAACCTTTTCTTAGAACTCAGGCCAATAAAAGCCAGAGGATGAAAGGAAAAGTTGCAAAGCAAACACACCCAGTTTCCTCTACCTCTAAGTTTACTCTGTCACCTTTTACCTGAGGTTCTTTCTTTCTCTTTGCTGTCAAAATTGTAAGCATTCCTCAAGATCCGTTCAAGTACCACCTTCCAGGCACTTTCTGGTTACTGTGAACCAGAGGAATTCACCTCTTTACAAACTGCCATTGTATCTATTGTTGGTGCTACTTATTTGACATTTATTATTGAGATTATGAATGCCAGTTATTTATGTGGAAGCTTATATTATTATCTCAGGTTTTAAGCTCCTAGAGGGTCGGTAGAGGCTTATACCGTAGGTACGGTCAGTGGAAGATGATGTGAGATAAATGATTATTGGTGGGATAAATAGATGAATGCAGGAATTAAATAGTGGATGTAGGATATAGGTGGGGATAGAGGAAGGTCTTATTTGCTAATAGGAATGGATTAATGATGAAAGAAGCCCCTCGTTCATAAAGTGGTGACTTATTTTTTTCTATTGTTGATCAAATCCCAGGCACTTTTAAAATGATGATGCACTTCTCCCCTGAACTTCAAGTTAAATTAAGCCCTTAACTTGAAGAGGTAGGCTTAGGTCATTTCTTAAGACAAGCATTGTTTGAAATCAGGAACAACTTTGAATGTTTCTATAGGTTTTAGACACTGGATAGCTGAAATTTTTTTAAAAGGTGAGCTGGGTGGGGAACAGGTAGTTATTTTGGCTTCTAATATTGGTGCAAGTAGGACTGATGTAACTCCAGCATGGCACCCTTGGTGTCCTGATAGGAAGATGCGAAGTGGGGAGGGACTTGGAAGACCCACAGATGTATCAGAAGAAATAAGGTAGTTAGGGGAATTTTGGAACTGGGTGATTAGGAATAGGATGAGTAGACCCCTTCTCTTCTTTTCCCTTCTTTTTCTTCTCTTTTTGTATCTCCTCTTCCACTTATTCTCTCCTTCTTTGTATCCTTTGTCTTTTCTGTAGAATGGTGTTTTAAGAGACAAACTCTCCTGTGTCCTAAGAGGCAAGGAGTTCCTCATCACTGAATTTATGAGTTTATTCTTTCAGTCATTTTCAGCCCTGTTTTATAAGAGGCTCACAGGCTTATGGAGAGGATGGTTAGAGGTCTGCCCTCATAACCTAGAAGAAACTTCATTCATTGATCTGGGGAAGATCATAGCAGGCTACCAGGAAGAAGATGTGTGCCATGCCTTACTTGATAATAAAATTGTTCCAGCAGTGAGAGTGGAAAATAGCATTTCCAGCATCGCTGAAAAAGGAGTCCTTGTTAGGAGGCTATTGGAATACAAGGTGCAGGTGAAATGAAAAGAAAGTTTGAAGCCAGTTTAGAGAAGAGGTGGGTGAGAGATTAGGGAAGAGAATGGCTTGACTGAGATTTCCAAACGTTTCTTGAAACAGTGCATGAGGTGACTCTTATCTCATGTACATTTCTGTAGTTTTATGTTGAGCCCAAGGATAAGGTGACTAAATGACTATGTGCAGAACGATAGAGAGACTAGGTTGTGTTCTCAGAGTGGGTACCGATGCAGGTAGGTAGATCCCAGGGGTTAACTTCTCTAAAAGGCCTCCTTGTCTGTCATTGAACTGATCCATGGTAGTGGAATATTCTTGAAATTGACCCAAAAATCCTTCAGTGGAAGGCAGTATAATGACCTCCCAAAGGTGTGCATAATTTAATCTCTAGTTAAAAGTGTTTGGTGATTTGGCAAATGAAAATTAAGGTAGGACGAAAGGTAGTTTATGGAACTAAGCTGCTAATCAGATGACATTAAAATAGGGAGATTATCCTGGGTTATCCAGGTGGGGCCCATCTAACTGCAAGGATCTTTAAAAGTGGAGGGGAGGACAGAAGAGTTTGTTTCTGAAGTGAAAGACTTGACTGCTTACTGGTGCCTTTAGAGGTGGAGGAAGACCGTGAGCCCAGACTGAGGACGGTGTCTAGAAGTTGGGAAAAGTGAGGAGATAGATGGTCCCATGGCACCTCCAGAAAGAAATGCAGCCTTGCTGGCACTTCAATCTTAGCCCCGTGGGACTTGTGTTAGACTTCTGGCCTCCAGAACTATAACACATGTTTTGGTGTTTTAAGCCACGAAATTTGTGGTTACAACAGCAGTAAGAAGATGATACACCTCCACAATGTCTGAAACTCTTGGGAACTCTGGAGGAGGGAACTCTCATATGAAGCAGTACACTTTCATCTTAGAGTTCCTGCGTTTAAGTAGATTCCTACTTGTCATATCAGGACCCTTAATCAAAAACTAACTGGGTAATGGAGACACAGAGATGCATGGAAAAAGATCTGAACTCAGGCTTCAGAACTGGGTCCATACATAGAGTACGTGCAATGCTGGGTAAGTGGCAACCTCTCAGAGCCTCAATTTCCTCTTTTTTTTTTAGAAGGTTGAATATTATTGCACAGATGTCTTATGAGGATTAATTTAGAGAACCTAAACACTAACACTTAGGGCAGTTGAGATGCTTATAGAAGTTTAGGGTGATCTGAATCAGTTTGGGACTCATTTGGGTGGGGGGTACTGAGAATCAAACTCAGCACTTCTCACATACCAGGCAAGTGCTGAACTGCTGAGCTATATCCCCGGCCCTGGGACTCATTTCCTCCATAAAACTTTCCTTAATTTCTTCACTTCACCTTGTTGTATGTCCTCTACTCTGCCCCCTATTTGTTTTTTGACTTCTATTTTCTGTTTAGTGTGACCTACAGAAAGTGTACTGCTCAGAGGCCCAGGATACTTGGCTCTGGCCCTAACAAGGCGTATGGCCTCATACCATTCCCTGACCTTCTCCAGCCTCAGTTTCATCATCATTAAAAAGGAGAGTTAGGCCTTCAGTAGGGCCCATTGGGCTCTGAAGCTCTGTTGCATTATAAATGTGGTCATAAATATGATTGCCCTAGGTGTCGATGTGACCTTGTAAGTGCGGCTGTATGTACTGTGGAGGTGCTCCTTCTTTGATCAGTTTATAACAGGCCCATTGGAAGACCCAGTCTTCTGTCCTCTGCATGTAGCATTGACCCAGCTGGGTATCTGAGTGAATTTAGGTCTTTACAGAGTGAGAGTATTTGTGAATTGAGCTCCTCAAGAACCATCTTCAGTGGACTAGTCACTGGGGCTGTAGCTTGGATAACTTTAGGGAGATTTTCTTACTCCACATTAAGATAGACGACTACAGATGTCAAGATAAGTAGGTTCTGTTACTATCACCAACCCTCCAGCAAGATCGGGGTTAATCTGATTCAATGCCATCTGACATTTCAGATTTTAGTCTTCTGGAGCTGTTATTATTGGGAGCCAGATAATTAGACAGGATCAGCAGAAGAGACTCAGGTGTGTGCCGGACATTCCACCTACTCTCATTCCCAACAAATAACTATCTCCTTTGTTCAGATAATAATATTTTCCAGAGTCCTCTGATTCATTCATGTGCATATTACAGGGCAATGGGTCCGATAAACTGAAAAGTGCAGAATGTGGCTCATCCCGTTTCCTGGGGAGTACCTGTCTCTGGAGAGCTTACTAAGCTCGTAAATTCCTGAGGGAGAGTCCATCATTCCTCTCCCTTTCTCAGTGACACAGGGAGTGTGAATCAGAGACTTGGGATAAGCTGTGGATGACAGGCCCTTGGGCTTAGAAAGGACACGAGAGGCCACCTGATTCCACTTCCTCCTTTTAGCTCCAGCATGTGTTTTAAACAGGAGGCACAAAAGTTTTATCAATTGCATTTTTTAACCAAAGAAAATGGGGGCCAAAGTTTTAGGTCCTTGTTCAAGGTCATGTAGTGAGCTTGGGTCTGATATGACCAACAAAATACTTAAAAAACATTTAGGAAGCCACTATATCGGAGATTCTTTATAAGTTTCAAGAAGACAAGGATACAGGCCAGCCTGTGGTTCTTAACAGTTTTGGGCACATGAGACTTTTACATATGCTCATGCCTTCACCTTCAGGGGCCAAGAACCTCATGTCATGGACCACTAACACAGACCATGAGGAGAAAAGGTGGTCCTGAATTGCTGAAGTTTGATGCTGGTTTTCCACCTTTTCTCTTTTGAATCTGGAGTCTGGCTCTTGCTGGCCTAAACTGGGGTTGGAGATTCTAGAATCTTCTCACAAGTGACTCACTGTGACTTTGGCTAAGTCTCACTGTACTCGTTTAGACACTGAGGACCCTGAGTGCACATCCAGCTCTGCTGTTCAGTGATGCCAGACTCTCCGGGCCCATCCTGCAGGTTTGTTGGGAGTGGATGGAGGGGAGGCCCTGACTCATCCTAAGAACTTCCCCTTTCTCCCTTTAGCCCACTGATTCACACAGCAGGTGGTGAGAACTGTCTGCTGCGTTGGTGGCAGCACGGAGTTCCGAGTGTGCATTTAGGTATTGGGTGTTATTGGCATCCTGGATTTCTAAGTTCAGTTTTTCATGCCAGAGGTTTGGCATCAGGTGACTCACATTATCACTCCGTTCTTACCTCTTTGTGAAATTTCCTTCTCACTCTTTAGCAAAGACACTGAGACCCCTCCTTCCCCTGAAGCAGAAACTTGTCTGTGATACTCAGCTGATTAGTATAGAGCTAACTTAGAATCCACATGTGTGTGATGTCAAACCCCCACTCCCAAGTTTTCCAAGATGAGAGGCTGCATGGAGGCTGCCTGGATGAAGCTGGCAGGATCAGTATCTTGTGTCACAAAAAGCGTGGCCAAGGTCAAGACTGACCAAGACCAGGGCTGCCTCTCTCTCAGCCCCAGGCCCCTCGTATTCAATGCCTTCCCCGCTTTTCCCACTGCTGAATTGTGAGGGTCTCTCTCTGCAGTGGTATTAAGGAGCACAATGGACTGTTGTCAGTCCACAGCAGCTTTTCCATGTCTGGAAATGTGTGCCTAACTCCACTAAGCACCCACTCACTTAATATTGAATGCCTGTGATATGTGTCTTCTCTGTGAGCTTATCGTCTAATGGGAGAGTCAAGTTACAATGGACCAGAACGTATGGTGGGCAACCCAGAAGAAGGAGGCACGGAGGCTCTAAGAGCCCCCTCACCCCAAAGGGCATTTAATCAGCCCCAGGTTGGAAGACTAGGAAGCTTCTTAGGGGAGGTGACCCATGAGTTGGATTAAAGGATGAGAATTTGTCCAGGTGATCATTCAGAGGGAACTCAGTGGAGAGCAAAGGTAGAGGAAAAGCAAGTGTTAAGTCTCAAAACCAAAACTCTCTGCTGTGTGCCAGGAAATGCAACAGTTACCTGCTCCTGGGTTGAAAAGTTCTTGATCGAGATGGAGAACTGGCAAGAAGGGTACAGAAGGAGGCAGGTGCTAGGTCTTGAAGACGTTTGCATAGCAGATTAAGTCATTTAAGCTGTGGTGTAGGCAAAGAGGAGCCTCTTAAGTGATTAAGCAATAGATGTAGATTTGAGTTTTATCAATAATCCTTCTCTGGCTTTCCCTGGAAGTAGGACTGGAGGAAGGTGAGCTTTGACAACCACTTAAGAGTTTTGAGTGGTGTAAGTGAGAGATGAGGGGATTTTTGGTGGAAAAAAGGCATGAATCCTCAGTCTGAGCAGGATTTCCTTTGATGGGGAGAGAGAGAGAGACAGAGACAGAGAGAGAGAATGAACATAGCTCCAAAGTGAGACATCTGAGTTTTTATGTCCCTGGGAGAAAAATGCAGCTGAAAATACCCCGATACGCATTTTATCATCAGTTTGTATCTTAGAATCCTTGCTTGGCAAATGACTTACTGAATTACCTATGTATTTGCTGAGCACCAACAGCTGTGGCATAGAAGCAGTTAGGACTTGCCATCAATAAAGCCCTCTAGAATGTGCCTCCGCTCATTTCCCCAGCTGGAATCTTTGGTCATATGGAAGCAGAATAGGAAAAACAGGCGTGTTCTAGTACCAGTTAGATCTTGCCAACTCCCTGGTTGCCAGTCATACGTGGAAGTGGCAGATGCCTCTAAGGTCCCTTCCAGATTCACATCAAGACTTTCTGTGCCCAGCCCACTCAGAGGGTTGGCTGTGCTTACAACCAGTTGCCCCTAATCCCCTAGGTTTTGGGGTGACATAGAGGCCTATTTTCAAGGCTACCTGTGCTCTGCCAGATTTTTGAGAAAGGACAATAGAGGGGGATCTGTGGTGGGGATCTCCCTTTGTGACTGTCTTAGTGGACCCCCAAAACTGTTTAGCTATGAAAGAAGAGGGATTGTCTTTGCTCTTCTCACTAATCTGTGAACCATCAGGCCTGTGCTATACAGTCTAGTCATTCTTCGGTTGTTCTTTATTTATTCAACCTCTACCCTTTGGGGCCCAGCTCTGGTGACTACCCCGGGATTGGACGTAATTACAGCATTCTGTGGAGAAGTGGCACTCTCATCACATTCTAGCTATCTTCCGCAGAACTGCCTTTTATCGAGCTCTTTGCTGGGAAAGCAGCCATTAAGAGATGTCTATCTTTGGTTTCATCTACATGGGAGAAGCGAGAACTAAATTGGCAGTGGGTGGTTTCATGTTCTCAGAGTGGCCTCCTCCCACTCTGCACTGAGTTCTCAGGGACACAGTCCCAGCCCAGCTGTCACGGAGCCACCTAGGCCTTCGTCTTCGGTCCTACACCAGGATGGAAGGTGCCTTCTACATGGCGCATATCCCCGGAGGCATTCTTCCAAAGTTTCCCAGAAACTTTGGGGAGGTCTCTGAAGTGTTCATAATTATTTCATGATTATTTTTGTTATAAAATGAATTAAAAGATAATAGTCATCCATCATCTCATTATAGTAAAATAAGAGAATGTCCACAAATTTCTTTGTATTAGTTTTATTCATCAAAGCTTTTCGTTACAGATAATTGTTTTATGCCGCATACTCAAGTGAGCTCTTATTTTTTCTCACCAGTACATTTTTCTTGGTAGAGATTGAACCCAGGGTCTACTGCACATGAGGTAAGTACTCCATCACAGAGCCACATTCCTAGCCCCTCTTTAGTACATTTTAAATGACTGTGTAATATTTCATAGAGTAATAGGCCCACAGTTATTTAATCAAGCATTGCTAGATATTTGAATTTTTAAAGTTATACTGTGATGATCCCCTTTATGTATATAGCATTTCCTCCCATCTGGGGATTACTTTTCTTCCTTCCCAATTTGCAATTATTTTTCTTGGCTTTAATTCTATAAAGTAAATACATTGAGTCAAAATATTGAGTCATTTTATGCCTGTGATATACATTCCTATGTTGACCAAAGTGTTTTCTAAAAATATATTTATTTGTAGTCCGTCTGATAGTGCCACAATTTTCACCCTGGAGTTCTGGGACTTATTATTTCAAAGTGATAATTCAACAGATGCAAAATGATGTCACATTATTCTCTCCCCCTTCTTTTCTTCCCCTCCTTCCTTCATTTTTCTCTTTATTCCCTGCACTGAGTAGTCAAACCCAGGGGTTTGTGCATGCTAGGCATCTGCTCTATGATGAGCTACAACCTTCAGCCTTTTTCCTCCTTTTGTCTGATCTCCTGTGAGATGGGAGGGTTTTCTTCAGGCATCCGCAGTCCACCACAGCCCCGCTGTTCCCTAACATGGGATTCTAGTGGTTGTTGGCCTCCAGTAGACGGTTCTGTACAGGGCTGTGGAGTATGGGATCGTAGGGTCAGGCTCTCATCTTTGTCTGGAGGCCCTGAGATTTCAAGTCATCTTCATGTAAAAGAAGTAACCACTAATTTTCTCATTTGAAAAATGAAGTGGAACCCTAAAGTCATTGTCTTGTTCCCTCTTCTTTTACAACAGTCTACATGTGTAACTAGCTGATAACATGGCCTGGGTCAGAAAGGGGTCCCTGGTATTTTTTATTTGGCATAATTTGGACTCTCTGTACTTACCACACCCTTTGCTGCTGGAACTGTCCTGTAGACTCAGAAAGGTAGAGCAATTGATGTACCATGATTCAGAGAACCATCCCAGAGCTGACTTTTTCATGACCTCTTACTATGACTGTAGAGAACGCTAAACCTATTTCTATTTAAATACTGTGGACTGTAATAATCCATTACTCCTTTGATCTATATGACAAAGCTTTGTCATCTGCTTGCCCAAAGAGGTGGGTACACGACCTTCTAGCCTCCACTTTCTTTTCCTGGAGACACAGGAGTGCCCTCATACCCAATTTGTGCACAGTGGGGACCTTAGGGGAGGATGGGATATATCTGAGGAGGCGAGGGGGACTAAAATGGTGAACGCAGGTCTGTGTATCCAGCCCCCGAGGTGCTTCCTTGTTGCTGCAGTTTTCTATGTCTTATTCCCATATCCTCAGCAACATGAGCCATTGAATTCCCTTTGTGAATTAAGCCAGTCTGAGATGGACTCCAGCTCTTTGTGAATAATCCCTACTAACATGTCAGCTGTGAGTGCCTTCTCTGTTTGTTTCTCATTGGGATCCTCCCACATACAAATCTAGTTTTTTATATCTAAGTTTTCATTGGGAAATAGTATCAAAACCAAGGAAGTGACACAACTATTTTTCCTTTTTTTTCTTTGAGAATGTCTAGCTGAGTTTAGTGCCATATGTTACAGATAGACCATTGTGCTTGGGAGATTTATACCGCAGTGAAGAAGTGCAGAGCAATTAAATTCAAATGTGTGAGGGTTAGACTTGGACAAGTGTAGGATTCTGCCTTCATGCAGCACCCATTATGTTCCAGTACTGTGGGCACTAGGCAGTTGTTAACTTTTAAGTCTCAGAACAGTGCAAGAGAAGGAAACTAAGGTACAGAAAAGGTAAGCAACTTGTATAAGGTGCAGTGTTGCTAGGGAACAGAGCTAGAGTTTAAACTCACACGGTGGGTATAGAGCCCTCTGCATAGGCGCTGTGAAATAGGACTAACAGCAAAGTGGGTAGAAGGTCTTTTCTTGAGCCTTTCTGAGCCTTTTGCCAATGTCCCACTCCTCTTTCCCTCTCAGGCCCTCTACGTCTCACTTCCTGGGGTTCCTGCATTTTACTAGCTGCTATATGGATCTCTCAGGCTTTGCTCTACCAGGGGCCTATGTTCGGGTGATGCACCCTGTATGACAGGCAGGTCTCTGTGAGTAGCAGACAGGGACAGAGGGCAGCCAGGACTTGCAGGTGTTTGGCAGTGCAGGTCTGCAGCTCTGACCTCATACCTTAGGAATTGGTTCTTGGTGCTTTCATGCTGTAATAAAACAACAAAAGAAAGTAAAACCACCAAGACGCCAGGAGGTCATGCGCAGCAGAAGGTCACCTTTACTTGTCAGGTCATGGCTCTAGTTCCAGCCCCAGGTGTTGTACATGGTGGCGGTGGCAGGGTTGTGGCAGCCATGGTGCCTCACTCTGGGGGTGGGCAGGCAGGGGCACACTTAGGTGGGCAGGGCTTGCAGCAGGGCTTGGGAGGGCATGGCTGAGGTGGGCACGGTGGGGGGCATGACGGTGGCGGAGAGCACGGCGGGGGGCACGGTGGGCACTTTGGTGGTGGACAGCACTTCTCCCTTGGGCACTTTTCTGAGCAGCGCTGCAGCAGCTTCTTTAAACAGCTGGGCTGGCATTTGGACTCACACTTTTGTTCACACCTGGGATCGAAGGGCTTGGGCTCATTCTTAGGATCTTCAGGCTTACTCTTATCAGCAGTTGACATTGTTTCTAGATTACACAGGCCCTGCAAAGGAATACAAGATAGGTCAACAGAAAAGGATTCCTTTCGCCTTCTCAAGCCTCCTGCCTGTTCTCAAGAAGCATGCCCATGTGTTCAGGCCCTGGAAGAGCTCTCCGCATTGTTGCTGTGGATTTGTGGTAGCGTGTATTGATCTCTCCACCCTTACTCTGGTTGCTGGTATCCTTCCTGTTTCCATTCTATGGACTCTAGGGGCAGTTCTTAACCTAAAATCCTCGTGTGCTCCTCCCCTCCAATAACGAAGAACCATTTCAATACAGTTGAGAACAATGGATTTAGTAGATATCTACGGAATATTCCACCCCTCTACAACAGAGTACACATTTTTGCAGCACATGATGCTTTTTCCAAAGTAGATCGTATACTAGTCCACAAAATCTGCTTCAGTAAGCATAAAAGAATTGAAATTGCCTTATGCATATTATCAGAATACTGATCAATAAAACAGAAATCAATGACAGAGTAATCACAGAAAATATAGAAGCTCCTGGAAAATTAACAGCACATTCCTAAATAACTAATGAGTGACAAGAAATCAAAGAAGAAATTAAAAGATTTCTGGAAGTTACTGACAATGACTACAACTCACCGAAACCCCTGGAATAGTATGAAAGCAGTTCTAATGCTCACATTAGCATACAATACTCACATTAGGAAAACAGAGTGAGCTCAAATAAATAATCTTTTGAGGAATCTGAAGATACTTAAGAAACAATAATCTGGGACCAAACCAAAAGAGGAATATTATAAAGATGAAAGCAGAAATATGAAATTGAGACAAAAAATGTACACAAAAATCAACAGGTCAGAGAGCTGGTTCTTTGAAAGAACAAATAAAATACAGAAGCACTTAGCCAGACTTACCAAGAGAAAAAAGAGAAAAGACACATGCAATTAGAAATGAAAAACGTAAAATCACAACAGACATGAAGATAAGCCATATAGAGGATCCTAGTAACCTCAATGAATTTAAAGATTATATCCCGTGAACATGAACTAAGTTTAATAATGTCAACAAGAATGAAAGGAGTGAAAGGGAGATTACAGAAGGAAGGGGAGAAGGAAGGAGAAGGAGATTAAAAAAGAAACAAGCTGTGTTGTACACATGTACCCGCTCCTTACGATGATTGTCAAATGCATGTACTGCAAACATGTACTAATGAAAACATTGAAAAGAAATAGTTGATGTTCCCTATATGTTTTAATTCATTAAAACCATTATTTCAAGGAGTCCCTAACTTTGAACTTGGTGCTAAAGGCAGCCATGGTGCAGCAAAAGTTTTCAAGAACTCCCATAACGCTACTTCCCCATCTTCCTAGAGATAAATGGGTGGCGTAGGAGTGGACTTTAAAACCACAGGCACTTCTTTTTATCCTGTGGCCTACCTAAGCTACCAAAATCTTGAAAGTTGCTTTCTTCTCTTAAGGATGGAGGCTGGAAAGGTAACTAGTCCTTGCTATCCATGGGCCACTCTAAACTATACCTTCTCTTGCCTCCACTCAGATTCCGCCAAGCAATTAGAGTGAGGAAAACATCAGGAGAGGAGGAAACAAACTGAAATTCTAACTTATCAAAAATATGCATGCTCGAACCACAAAATATGATTTTCACTAGGAATTCCCTTTCTCTCCTTTTGGATTTTGCTTTGGGCTAGGTTGTTCTGCATGGACAGTTTAGCTTCAGGATATGAAGAGAATTTTTCAGCCTCCAACATTACTTCATAGTGGATCTAACTGGCATACCTTTGATTTCCTTTCACAATATAAAAATCAAATTTTTATCTAACTTAATTTTAAAATCAGCATTGTTCTCTGGGAATGCAGAGCATTAAATCAAACTCTAAAATTGTTAAGTCTGTATTTGACAGCGTGACATGCACACAACTTCTTGCTACTGAAAATGACAGGAAACTTTTTTTTGAAGTTTTAATATTTATTAGGTGTTTTTTAAAAAATGAAAATTTTCAACATTGACTACTCTTTGGTGTACAAAGTCTAAAAAAGACAAAAGAAATAAATTCTTATATGAACTACAATGAAAACATCAATCACATTTTACAAAAAGGTAATCTTTACTTCAGTTATCACACCTAAAGCAGTCTGCACACGTGCCAACAGCATATTCCATACACACATATTGCTTACACTGACAGCACGTATGTTTTCCTGGTGTTTTTGTAGGACATACTTGACATCTTACTGGTCTTGTTGTTTTGTCAGGAGGTTCTTATCATATTATACAATGTGTAGTTAACAAGAACAAAATATCAATAACAAAGTATTACATTCTTAATATGTACTGTGTTTTAGAAAAGGCATATGCAACCCTCCCATCCCCGCTAGGTACTTGAGGTGCCATATATCATTCCCAGGACAGGAAAAGTAAAAGCACAGCCTTTCTAGTCATCCAGATGCAACTCACCCCTTTGTGCTGGTGGTTAACCTGACAATTGAATGGGATGGATGGTACAGCTCTGCTGGGGAAGGTGGATTTTCCCTCTGGTTCCTCAGTCCGGCTCTGAGGACACCAGGGGTGGGGCAGGGATAAGCCCACCTGTGACATCATCACAGCATCACCAGCAGTGATTATTGAGTGATTCCAAGGCTCCCAGTTCAACTCAGCTCCTTGACATAAGAGTAGAGCCATAATAAATCACTCCCTTGGCTTCTCACCCCTTTCAGAGTCTCTCAGAATTGATGTTGGCAAGATCAGGTTACAGTGAAGATGCCTTTATGCCAAACACAAGAGGCCCCCATTGCTAGGAGAGAGAAGCTGGCTTGCTGTTTACCAATGCTCTCGGTCTCCTCCACAGAGTTGCAATTTTTTAACTCCTGTGAACTTGCACCTTCACCTTTTTGGAGAGTTCCTCTGGATCACAGCCACTCTGACTCTCCCCTTCTCCCTGTTTTTCTAGTATGAGATTCCAAAACCTTCCTTTTACCATACCATACTCCCTGGCCCAAACTCAAGGGTTGTATAAGCACTTTTTCTCAATGTCCTTGAAAAGATTCAGGTTTTTTTTCTGGAGGGTAGCAGTTGTTTCTTAAATTAGGCCTTGGCCACTTCTTAATATTCAAGGTAAATATTCTGTATTATAAAGAAAGTCTCATATTCCTGATCATTCCTGACCAATTGAGTTAGCCCAAGATCTTATCTTAGAAGAGGAAAGTTCCCCCAGAATCCCTTCCTGGCCTTTCCAAAAGCCTGGCCAGTGGGTTTTGTGGTTTGAATAGAGATACATGTTGGTAGTAATGGGAGGGTAGTGAGGAGAAGGTAAATGGGGCTTAGGCATAGAGCCTGAACGTGGGCCTGGGGATGGGATTCATCTTGACATTCATTCACTAATGAGTCACAAGTGATATTGGAATAAAACTTTAATACGATCACGTCCAACATGTTAAAAATTTGACAGCAAAGTGTGGGATGGGCTGGGGGATTAGGTTTTGGAGTGAGAACAGAATCAACCTATTTTGAAAAAGTTATCAAAATCTTCATGTCTGAAGGAAGGCAGTCTTGGTAGAAGAAATGGTGCCAATGAGAGAGACATCATCAGAAAGGTAGATTTATGGGACTTGGTTACTGACTTTGTAAACAATTAAGAAAAATTGAAGATGGTTCAGATTTAAAGATGGCAACATTAGCTATAGTTATAGTTAGTTATAGTTAATGGGAGCTAAAGACACAGAATGGGTTTGTGTTAGAGCACTAGGGATTTGTGTATGAGAAAACCAAGAGTGGATGCAGGAGCATGTCTTAGGTGGTTATTTGTCCTTGCTTCACTGGGAGACTTGATACCTTGAGTTTATTTCAGTCCAACAGTGTTTACTAAGTGGATGAGCCTGAGCTGGCCCAGAGGAAGTCTGGGGAACAAGAAAGAGACTAGGGAAGATGAAGAATTCTAATGCAGGTTTACTTGGCATTCACAGTGGACAAAAAAGCCAGGCACAGTTACAACCCAAGTAAGCCTAAAGGCACATACAGGGTGAGCCAGAATTTAACTTCCTGGGCTAAATGGTGTTAAAGTCACAATCATGGTGTAGACTGTTCCCTTATTTCTTTTCTCTACAGTTTTGTTCATGAGATCCGTCTCCCCAAAGTTACTAAGAAGGGGTTCTTGCATCCATCTCAGGAGACACACCTCCCTCTGCTGTTCATCCTCTGGACCAGAGCAACCAGTGTGCATATGGAGAAGACATCATTTGTCGTAGCATTGTCCAAAGGTGTGACGATTTCTACTAGCCATTGTCACCTTCCTCTCTCCTTCTGTTTTTCTAAGAAGCTTCCATTGAATGACAGTATCTCATTTACTGAACTTCCAACAGACCATAATTTGTTCATCTTCTTCCCAGTCATTAAATCCCTCCTTTCTAAAGGTCCATACTCCCAGTAGTGTCACATTTATTATCTCAGCTCTCAGCTTCAAGTTAGGGTTTAGGATTCGGTGGGTGGCTGTTCTCGGATGAAGCATAGAACATGCGTAACAAGAGGCTGGGTCTCAGAAGAGAGGCTGGGAAGTGAGGAAAGCGTCAAAGCCTGGCTTAGATTAAGGGCTAAGAATTTGGATTCCAGTGTTCACTTCCTGGGTTCAAATCCTGCTTGTGTCTTTTACTTAACAAATGACCCTCTAGTCATCTACCTAACCATTCTAAAAGTCTCAGTTCTCTCAGCTATATAATGATTTAATAGTAACACTTGTCTTAGGATAATATCTAACATGTGTTGAGAACATATAACATGCCAGACACATTTCCAAGTGCAAAATGTATGTTGTTATCCATGCTTCGTAGTACTCAAGGTTGTCTTAAAGAACAGAGATATTATGTCTGAAGAACGTCTAAGAAATGTTTTCTGTATTTATTAGTTATCCATTTTGTTCGTGTTGGCTTGAATTCTTTATCCCCAGTCTTGCTGTTATGTCTTTCTGTCTTTCTTATTTTTCTGATATTGGTCCTAAAATGCCTCTTCTACAATATTTTCCTTGGAATCTTTTCCATACCCCTTTTTCTCCTACTTTCCAGTGAAAGTTCCTGTTGGTGTTCGTGGTAAGATTATATATTTCAGTATTAACTTTTAATGATTTCATTTTTGAAAAGGGAGAGGTGATGTAAATATTATTGATAAAAGATAGTAATTTGAACATTAAGGTCAAAAGAGTCATAAGACCATTCAGGCATTCTCTGTGCATACCTGTATGCTCTGCATGTCTGTATTGTTTTATCTGCCCTCGAAGATTCTAAGTATCAGCAATTTTGACTTTACTGTGTTTTCCATCTCTGAGTTTTTTTTTTGGGGGGGGGGAGATTGTATTTTCTGTCTTTTTCTATTTCTATGAAACTCTTGTTGAACAAGCAGAATTTAAGGGGCAAACAACTCCATTCCTTTTACTGAAGTTGCTTGTACTCTGTCTATGTGGTTAGCTCTTCTTTTCCTCTGGGGATGAAATCTGTAACAGATGTCATTGACTTTAGGGTAATGCTGACACATCAGAAGTTCTCTAGTCACTTGCTACTACATAGCTACTCTTATTTCCCTAATTGGAAGATAGATGTTTTCCTATACATTGGATTTTCTCTTCTTTCCCTCCTGTAGTTATTGCAGGCAGGAAGCCTCCAAGGGAAAGAGGAGCATCTTCCTTGTTTGCTGCTTTGGTTTCTATTGCCTTTCTCTTGCTCACGCAGGTATCTGGTCTTTGGAGCTGTAGAGGGAGGAGAGAGAAAAGACTAAAAATTTCCATGCTGACATAGGACCTTTTTGATCTTGGTAGGTGCTTAAAATTCCTCTTTCTCTTGTGAGGAAATTGAATGTATTCATTAGAGGAACCCAGCCCTCCTTGCTGGGGTTTTGATCATAGTTCTTTAATGTTGGAACATGTTTCTTTTTCTAGCTGCTATGGCTTCTGCAGTGCCTAGGCATTTATACTGGTCCCTGGGGCAGGATTTTAAACAGTTTGGATTGTCAACCTGATCTCCTTTTTCTGTAGTCTATGTGTAACCATTAGACTTTACTGCAGTTTTTGAGGCTGTTATGTTGTCATTATTTTTTCATACTTGAGAATGAATCCAGGGCCTTCACAGTGTGATACATCCTGAACGCTTTTTAAAAATTTTATTTTGAGTCAGGTCTTGGTAAGTTGCTAAGCTGCCTAGTCTGGGCATGAATTTGGGCCCTCCTGCTTCGGCCTCCCAGAATGCTAAGATTACAGATATGTGTCACCATGCTGGAGTTGTATCCTCTTTTTCACCCCTATCCCTCCATGACCTGCATACTCTCTTGCTTTCCCAACCTCACCTGCTCTCCTTCCTGAGCATTTCCTCTTCTGCTGAATTTCTTCCCCTTCCCTTGGCTCTTTTCTACTTATACACTCATGGCTGATCTCCCTCTCCTCCTCGCTATAGCTCCTGGTCCCACCTCTCTGCCAAAGTGTTCCACAGCTCATTTCTTCCTTGTTTTCTAGGTCCGAATGTTAACATCCACTGGATATACTTTGGTATCTCAGATTGACTTAACATCAGAATTTATTGCTTTTCACACATTTCTTAACATGCTCCCAATTTACATTCCTATCCAACAAAACTTTGAAGCCAGAACCCTGGGATTATTCTAACCTGCAGCGTTCCACTCAGCCTACACCAAATTTGCCATCAGGATTTACCAGTTCTACTTTCTTAGTCACCAGCTGCTAACTAGGCCCTCTGGGAGCTGCACCATACAACTCTCTCAGTCCTGTCTGTCTTGCCACCACTGTTGTCGCCTTCACTGTGGCTACTGCTGTCACAGGTTTCCCTGCCTCCAGAGGGACCCCCCTCTAGTTTATACTCCACAGCACTGTCACAGTGAATTTTGTGAAACAAAGAATTTTACCATCAAATTTAAGATGAGGTCTAAGGTTGGTAGTTAGGTCTATGAAACGCTTATTAATCTGGCTCCCTACTTTTACAATTTTTCCTTTGATTTTTGAATCAAATTACTTAGAATTCTCAAAATGTGCTGGACTCTTTTTAGAAGTTCTGTGTCTTTTCTCTGTCAGTAATGTCCCTCCTTCCTTCTGAACCTTGAACTTGTTGGAAATGTACACTGAGCATGACTTATCTGATTTTCCTAGGCTGTTGCTGTAGCTAAGTTTATTCCCAGACTTTTATTCCCATATTTTGTAGGTATTTATTTCCAAATCTATCTCCCTTTCTTGATGGGTGACTCTGACAATCAGAAGCACTTATTCTTTTTCTCCGTACCCTCAATGCCCAATGTAGGGGTCAGCATTTTGGTCATGTAATAATTAATGTTTACTGTCAGTGAAGAGATAAGGAGACGTTATTTCAATAGCTTTGTAGTCACATTTCTCTAACTGAAATGTGCTCTCCCATTTTTTGATTAATACTTGATTTTCACTTTCTAGACATAACTGGAAAACCTCCATGCACACCTCCTTGGCCCCATCCTCACTGCAGTCAAGTGGTCACATCCCTGAACATCATCCCAGCTCGCTCCTCAAAGCTTGATTCCCCCACCACTCATGCTGGGAGCAGATGGCTGTGTCTTAGTCTCTCCTCACTGTAATGAAATACTTGGCACGCACCACTTAAAGGGGAAGAGGCTTACTTTGGCACAGTGTTAGTCCCTGGTCAGCGGGCCCCCAGGCGGAAGGGGCATGGTGGAAGGGTCTGGCAGAAGAAAGCTTCTCATGTCATGGCAGCCAAGAAGCGGAAATGAAGACAAAGAGCCTGGGAGGGTGAGAAACGCTTCCAGCGCATGGCTCCTGTGGCCTGCCTCTTCTGACCAGACCCACCTCCCCAAAGCAAGTCAGCTTTAGTGATCGCAAGATCTGCTTACTTTATAAAAGCCCAGCCTTGGAACACAGGAGGCTTTGTGGGTAGGGACATTCTAGATCTAAACCCTAACAGGGTATATACATCTGTCTTTGTTTCACATGTAGCCCTACTCCAGGGAAAACTCTTCTGCATCTTTGGTAATAGCCCAGGGCCCAATATGTAAGAAATGATCAGTGAATGTTTGAGGAACACATGAATGCATATGGAAGACAAAATTTAGCATAGCAATTAAAAATCAAATGAACTGTCAGAGGAGGGAGGTGAGATCTGCAGGTGGAGATCTGTCTTTAAGGTCAGCTTGTATTACCAGTGTACATGTGTCAGTCCCAGAAATCCCAGCAGGAGGCACCACTGGGCCTTACGAACTAGGAGTCACAGATCACTCTGGATTTGTCTAGCATACAGCCCGCATCTGACCCAGGGTTCCAAGCAGAGGTGGACTCACGTATCAGGCATTGCCCGAGTCTCAATCTCCTCTTCCTTGTAGCTGTGCCTTAACTGCCCTGTATATCTACTTCATCCCCCAAGACACATGCACATTTTCTGCCTGGTGAGACTGTCTTCAGGAGCAGACCTTCTTCAGGGAACTGCTTGTGGATGTGAAAGGAAAGCACCTTGCCCAAGGGACTGTGAGGCATTTTGTGGGTAGAATGGAGTCATTCTCTTTAGTGAAGCTCTGTTTTCACTCCCCCACAGACCCACATTATACTTTCGGACATTTCCTAAGGCTTCCCCCAAGCTTGACTTCTTTTATTTTCCCCTGGATCTTTCACTTACCCAGCCCCACCACAAGATAAATTGGAGTCTCACTGGGGTCAGTGGTGAGAACAGAGAACAGAAGAAGAGAACAGAGATGAAGAGAAAAGTCCTTTGGCAGGTTGGGAGTTCCTTCTGCAGGATCAGAGCGTGGAGGGAGAAATCTGTGCATACAAAGAAAATGGAAAAACAGGGACAAAATTTCTCCATAGAATGTGAGATTGTAAAGTAGGAAGGTTTCTTGAAGTTTTTTGCCATACTGGGGAGTATGATTTAAGGGAGGTGATTTAAGGTAGTTCTTGTCATGCTCCTAAACAGCTTTGTATGTAAGAAATGTGAAGTCTTCCTAATTTTTAATAAAATGAGAGGAGGCAGAGCTCTGTTTTCATAATCTTCTTTGGTCACCAGGAGGCGGCACAGGTTGGGACATCAGCAGCTGGAAGAATCAGCACTAATCTAAGCATCTAAGGTGTGGAAGCAGCCTAAATGCTCATGGTGAGATGAATGGATAAGGAACATGTGGTGTCTTCATACAATGGAATATTATTCAGCTTTTATTCTTTTTTTTTTTTTTTTTTTTTTTTGTTTTTTTCCGGTACCGGGAATTGAACTCACGACCTTGCGCTTGCCAGGCAGGCGCTGTGCCACTGAGCTAAATCCCCAGCCCCCTATTCTTTTAGAAGAATAGAAAGTCTACCATATCCAACAATGTGTATGGCCCTTGAAGTTACACAAAGTGAAAAAATCAAGACACCAGAAAACATACACTGCATGTTTCCACTTTTATGAGGTGCCTAAAATAGTAAATTCCATAAAATCACAAAAGGAATGATGGTGTCTAATAGACATAGGGAGGGGGAAATGAAGAGTTATTAATCAACAGGTAAAACATTTCTGTTAAATAAGATGGATAAGTTCTAGAGATCTCCCTGCATCACCTGCTGGCTGTGTGAGGAGGAGCAAACTTCTCTTTAAATGGGGGTAACAGTGACCACATCCCAAGATGGTAAGAACTAAAAAGATAAATTTGATAGTGAAACAGCTGGTGAGTGTTCTGTTGCTAGTCCAAAGGAAAACTACACGAATTTCATCATGGATCATGGTGTGAAGTAAAGGGTGCTGCTCTGCCCAGGGGTGAGGGGGACAAAAAAGCTTCCTGCCAGTGTCTGACAGGGTGCCTGCTGTTGTCCAGTCATTTTAAGAACAGGCGTGTGTGTGTGTGTGTGTGTGTAAATTTCTAGCAGAAATATTCCAGAAAACCACAGTAGACACAGTTGGAAATGTCCTTCATGGGGCTGAGGACAAAGACAACCTCCCTGACCCTGATTCATCTCCTCAGTCACTTTCCAAGGCTGTAAGCCTCCTAACCTAGATGCATTAAGCATCTTTCTTTGAAGAGGAGCCTGGTGTCAGTCTCGAGCTTCTCCAGCAGACTTTGGGTCTGCCGTCAGAACAGAGTTTTGCTCCAATGCGAGTCAGTCCGTGCCTATTCCCTTAACGTGAGTGTTAAAGCCCCAGCCAGACCATCACAGTGGACCCTTGCAGGCTGGGCCAAGTCATCCAACTTCTCAACCCCCATCGCCTACACTGCTGCTTCTCTGCACTGACCAAGGCTCTCTGGTAATCCCTCTGCAAACACTTTATATTTTGAGCAAGTGTATTAGCTAAGGTTCTTCAGAGAAACAGAGCCAACGTGTATGCATATATATTGTATACATATACTGTTTCTTTATTTTAAGGAACTGGTCCCCTGGCTGAATCCACAATGAATTCAAGCCCAAAGGCAATCTCCTAGCAGAGTTCCTTTGAAGGAGGTCAGTCTTTTTTTCTATGCAAGCTTTTTTAATGGTTGGAATTAAGGAGGAAAATCTGCTTTACTCAAATTCTACTGAATTAAATGTTAGCCCTATTAAAAAATATCAACACCGGGGCTGGGGATTTAGCTCAGTGGCAAAGCGCCTGCCTGGCAAGCGCAAGGTCGTGAGTTCAGTTCCTGGTACCAGAGAAAAACCAAAAAAAAAAAAAAAAAAAAATATCAACACCAAACATCTAGAATAACTGAACAAATCTCTGGCTACTGTGACATAAATAAATATCACATACACACACACACACACACACACACACACACATCACACCCCTAGTGGACAGAAAAACTAAAGCTCTAAATGTTTGGAAGTGATTTGGATAATTAATGACCCTGCCTTACACTTTTTCCCTTTGCCAATGACACTGCTCTAGCACTGGTATTTGGGGTGATTAGGTCCAAATCTTTCCTTTATGATCTGACAGCGTACAGAACTAGAGAAACAAGCTGCTGTTCCTTCTCTATCTCTGCCTGACAGTTGCTATTAATTACAGATTTTGACCTTTTTTTTTTTTTTTTTTTTGGCAGATTGGTTTTCTTTCCAATGTTCAAGCATGAAGAGTGATCTGTAAGTTTGGGAATTCAGAGTTTCTGGTTTCAGAGCTGTGAATTCATTTTTTTTACTGAAGCCTTTGTTCAGGGCAGGCCAGTACCTTCCACCTTCACCCTTCTGTGAGGTTTGCACAGCATAAGAAGACGCTCTGATTGTGCAGATATGAGGTGGTCGTGCCCAGAGCTCAGAGGCCCTACTATCGCTCCCAGGAAACGAGCTCAAGAAAGAAGCTGTCCCTGACACTCCAGAGAGAAGTTATAAGGGCAGGCCAGTACTTTCCACCTTCACCCTTCTGTGAGGTTTGCAAGGTAAATGGAAAGGGTTAATTCTGTACTTTACTGCATGGTCAAGCAGCTGGAAGATGAGTCACCCGAGCTCCTGGGCCAGCTCTTTGGAGCTCTGTTGTACTGAGGGAAAGGTATAGGTGGTGGAAACGCCATGTCTGAGGGCCACAGTAGCTTTCTACGTCTGTTCATCCTTTCATACTTGCCTCATGGAAAACCTGCTCTAAGAACAATCTTGTGCACCAAACCAGGATGTGTGCTCTTGTTTTGTGCTTCTCTAGTACTCTGAGAGTAATTTTACTTCTACATGTGTCTCATATTACTGGGTATTTGCATATGTGCCCTCCCTACTGGATTGTGTTCCTATCACATCCCTGTTTTCACTCCTGGACCACTGCCTGGTACCATAACTGTTTCTAAAAGGATCTGAATGAATTCCTGACACCAACCATAAGCTTCATAGGTGAAATGGTTTGACACTGTCTATGATCTTCTGATTCTGCTTAAAATACTTGGAGAAGAGAGTAGGGGAGCAGAAAGAGTCTTAGTCCCAACCAAGATATCCAGACCCTCTGAGAACCTGATTCTGGTCTCTTCACATCTGTCCAGCTCCTCTGAAGACCTCAGAAGAAGAAAGTTCTCATCACCTGTAGAAGGGCCTTTCAGAGAAAAACTGCAAAATTATTACCACTGGGGAGGTGCCAAACTTGATTTTTGGAGCACAGCCTGATTTTTTTCAAGTACATCAAGGTACTGAAAAATAATATTCTGCAACTATAAGTAATGGTGTGTCCCTTAAATTACATTACTCACTCGTTATATACTCTGTATTTGTGTTCTGTTCTTCACATTGGAAAGAAAATGTCTTGAACACAGGGCTTCTGTCTGGTCCAGTGACTGGAATAGTAGTCAGTATACACAGATGGACTGATTGCTGGTTTACTTCTGGCTGAACCAAAAACTGCTAAAAATGGCTATTATTCCTCTCTTTAAAAATCCCTGAGGTCTGGAACACCCTGGAGAGGCAGGGAGATGGATGGCATATTACCAACAGGCCTGTGAAGGTTCCTGATTATTAAGCATGAGAAGGATGAACAAAAGTGAGAGAGAAGGGAGGGGGAGGGAGCGGAGCTAAAACCCAGTGTTGGTTCCTGAGAACCAGGATCTTAGATTTTTCGCCTTGTTTCTCCCACAGCCGTCCCACCTGATGGCTGGTGGTTCTAGGGACGATTGAGGAGAGTTACAAGAATATCACACTCCCACATCCTGGAGGAAGCCCTTTCGAGTGCTTAAAATATGGGTAGTCACCAGAGAGCCGCCAAACTGGAGCTTTAAATGCAGAGTAGGCATTCAAAAACTGACTTCAGGAAGGCAGTGAGATGTACCTGGGAGTGAGCAATCTGTAAGAAAATCCCCATTTCCTGCTCGTCAGGCTGTTCCTTAGGATAAAAGGACCCCAGTGTGGCCTCATTTATGTCACTTGGATCCTCGGGTCCTGGAGCAGAAGGAGAAGAAGATGAATAAGACAGCTGTGCTCTTCTGGGGAGAGACCCCAGCAAAGGCCGATGGGCTGGCATCTTTCTTTTGACGATGGAGAGATTTTAATGCAGTAGAGAGTTTCTGGAAGTATGAGAGTTATAGAAGCAGAGTGGTGCTGGTGCTGGCGATGATGGTGGGGACACAAAGACAGAGATGAGAAAACCCGCAGAGCTAACAGGAAAACAACTACATAAGTAGAGAGAGCTGGCAAAAGGGAGACAGGTGAGCAAACCAAGTTGATAGGTAATAGGTAAAATGTGAGGCCTTGGTTTTCATTTTATTTCAGAAGTTACATACGGGTAAATGTAAGTCTTGGGTCGTAGAAGTAGTTTGTGGTAAAGCTGGGGTATTCCTTTCATAGTTCCCTTTCCATCCATCTTACTTCCTTGTTACTGTGATGGTGAAGATTTTAATTTGATAGAGCTTCCTCCCCTTGTCCCCACCGTGATATGGCATCACACATGTGATTGCAGAAACGCCGAGCTGTTTTCTTGGCACTTAAGGAAATAGTGGCTGGCATATGGATTGTTATCTTTGGCCCTTATTTTTGACTGTGTTTGGCTGGCACCACAGGCACATACTGCTGGGAGTCGCCATGATTTTTTCTAGAGTGTGTGGAAGAGGAATGGAGAGAAGAGAAAAGGAGCAGGGGAGACAAATGCCTCCAACAGCCACAAGCCTGCAGACTCAAAGGTGGAAAATGTGGCCTGACGGAGTGGAAGTCCCACTGCTTTAGAACCTCTGTTCAGTCATCGCCTGATTGAAACTCTGTAGGGCCCAGAAAGCATTCCCTGCACGGCTCCCCCATGCTGGGCCGGTCCAGGATGGAAGGGCTCTCTTTCCCAACCGTCTCCCCGTCCTGCCTGTTCTTCCTGCAGACTACCGTTCAGTCTCACTCCCATAAGGGGCAGTCCTCCTAGAGAATGCAGACTGCACTGTAGCCTCTCCAACTTTCCCTTCTTTCTACTGTCGTCCCTGGCTTGGTATTTTAGTTCCAGGCCATTCCTATTGTTCTTCTCATCAGATCCACTGTGGGCATGTTATTCTTAGAAGCCAGAATCCAGGTTGTGCCCCAGTTCTCTGGGTGAGGTTTATCTGTGGACAGCCACAAGGTGATTATTTTGTTGCTAACCACGATGACATTCTGGGTCTGGTCATTATGGCAGTGAGAATGACAGGAAGGCCAGAGTCTCTGAGAATTAAGACCAAAGTAGGTAGAGGCAGAATCATTCTTGGAGAGGCTGCATACTCTGCTCACCAAGTTAAGTGTTTGTCTCCTGTTTCATGCAGGCTTTCATCAATGCTGAGAGAATGTCCTATCAGCAGCAGCAACAAATGCAAACTTCCCTGCCAGCCCCCTCCTCAGGTCCTGCAGCCGTGTCTTCCCAAGGTGGCTGAGCCTTGTCCTCCCAGAATACCTGAGTCCTGCCCTCCAACCTCAGCCAGCAGAAGTGCCCTCTGTGCAGCATCCTGCATGCCAATAGAAATGCCTGCCAAAGCAGAAACAAAACATCAGAAGCCACCACATCCTTTAGGACCACATCCTTCTGGACAGGAAGGTGCCAAGTCCTCTCCCTACCAGTGCGCTACTCCCTTCTTTTAGCAACCATAAAGAATGACACACAGCCCAGGAAAATCGACCTCTCGGCTGACCCAAGGAGAATGATACCTCCATTCAAGGTTTTCTTGTAGTGGATCAGCAGATCCCTCTGAGCTTCAACCTGTAGCAACCGACAGAGAATAATAGAAGTATTATGCGACAAAGCTTCCCCTGGAGCCTTATGAACTGTATTCACTGTGGCCAGGGCAAGCTGCTCTTCCAGCCGCTCCCTCCCCAGCCCTACTGCTTCTGCTAGTCTGAGAAGAACATTAAAGTCAGGGAGTCTCAGCGATGCCCCTGAGGCTCTGAGAAGCCAAAAGGCATTAACTGCCTTGAGTGGAAAACTACCCCAACTTCCTGCCTTCCCTTACTTGTTAATTAGTATGGTGAAATCTATTTCAAATCACCAATTCTTTATTTGTAAAGGCAGCTGACTTTGCCTCTGGACTTTAAGCCTGGAAGCTCCTAGCCCTTTGTGATACTCTCACTTTTAACTTCCCTCTCTTTCAATAAATCCAGTTGCTCGCGTGTGCATCTTACTCGTCCCTGGCTGGAAAGAGAGTGTCGCAGACGGAAAGTAGGTACCGCACAAGGGAGCAGTGCTTGGAAGAGCACAGGGAGGGAACCTACATGAAGGGATGGGGGAGTTTCTGGAACTTGGGAGATTGGCATTTTCCCATCTCTGTGCTTCCTGTGGGTTTCACACTACCTGGCGAGCTTGTTGCAGTCCACTGGCAGTCCCACAGAGCCCGCTCCCTTTCTCAGGAGAGCTGTTGCAAGCGGGAAGGTAGGTGTGTGGGCCTAGGGCTCTGGCATCAGGGCTGTGGTTCAGCCAGCAGGAAGTTGGGTCTTCAAGCTATGAAGGAGGCTAGACTTTGGGGCTGAGGCTTCCACTCTGAGCCTGAAGATGCCCATCTTGGGATGCCTGGAAGAGTCAGGACTTTGTAGCCTCCATCATGTTGGAAGCACTGGCTCTGAGAAAGTTGGAGGATTTTCAAGAAGTTTTAAATTTGAGATCCATGTTTCTTTCCTTTTTTTTTTTTTTTGCAGTTTTTTTTTTATTTTAAAGAGAAAAAGATAAAATAGCAAAGACAAAAACAAAACACAAAAACAGTAAAAACAATACAGATGTTTCAAAACAAGATGATAGGAAATTAACAATGGTTTTTGTATTACATATTGTTATCTTCAACAAAGTTGCTTAGCTTACCAGATGTAAGAATGCAAGATTGATTGAACAATTAAGAGAATAAAAATAATAAAAAACATTAGAAATGATACAGAGCTTCACAAAACAAGATGGTAGGAACTCAACAATGCTTGTTATATTGTATATTGTCTTTAAATTAGTTGCTCAGATTACCAGATGTAAGCATGCCAAATTTAAGCATTACTCTTCCTTTCAAAAAACCAGTAGACATCAGCAGTAGTTATCCCAGCTATCCTTGTATACACATACGTATTTTTTCCCTCCCTTCCTTCTTTCTTTTCTCCTTTCCCTCATCCCACTTGTTCCTTCCCTTCGAGCAATTTCTTTCCCTTTCATGGCCCATGGTTTCTTAACACGTGGGTTTGTGTATTATATTCCTGGACAGTAAATAACTATTGAGCACCCACTGTGGGTCAGACGCAGAGCCAGGTCTGCTTTAAGGTGGCACACTGATCTGCAGGGTGGGCAGGCGAGGGTGTGGCTGTCACAGAGCAGTTGCTTAATGCAAAGAGCACAAGGAGACAGGTGAAGGAAAACGCTGCTGCCCCTAGGGGAGAATTGGGATCAAATCCCCAGACCCTGGCTGTGGAAGTGCAGCTGGTTGCTGGCCGAGTACAGCTATGCTTTACTGATTTCAGGCTCCATTCCATTCTATTAGCCTACTCTTATTCCTCAAGACTTTAAAGCAGTTGTCATGACAGGGATTGTTGTAACTTTAGGATGTCAATCCTTACCCTAAGGGAACTCATTTGCTCATCCGGGGACAATAGGGGAGGTAGGGATGCTGTGACAGGCAGGAGGCAGGCCCAGGCCCTGCTGTCTGTATACTCTTGGGGGAAGCTCGGGAAGGAGCAGGACTGCTTTATGTAGTTCTTGAGTGGAATGGACGACCGAGGGGAAGAAGGTGTATAGTTATTCAGTGCCCAAAGGAGATTTTCAGCCCTTAACAGTAAATTCTAGTGCAAGCGTCCCTACCTACACTGTATGTCTTGCCCGAGGAAGTGCTCAAACAGCAGCTTGCTGACAAGCTGAAGCCTTGTTGAAAAGATTCTCATCTTGTGACCCACCAGATCCTATCATCTTCTGGTCCTTTCAGCCCACTTTTTTGCTATCTATAGTCCCAATTCAGGACTGAAACCCAACCTCAGCCCCTTTTCCATGCTCTCTTTACCAGTCCAGGTTACTCTGGAATCTGTGAGCCCAAGACCAAGGAGCTGTCAGTTTTTCCCAGAAAGGAAACCCCAGCTGGCACAGTGGCTTCAAGATGAATCATTGTCTGTCTCCAGGACACACACATTTGGCCTTGTTCAACCTAAAATCCCAAGGCTCCTCCACAAGATCTGTACTCACACATCTGGCAATTTGGAAGATCACTGACTTCTCTGACTGGTTCTCTTCTGTTTTTGTCTGTATCATCAGCATCCAGGTCAGTGTCTCACGTATAGTATATGTTCAGTAAACTGTCATTTTATTGGACCAGGTATAGATTAAGAAACACTTTAAGTCAGTTTTAGAGAAAGAATATTAAATAACCCAAAGATATATGAATTTACCAAAGCAGAACTGAGAGACTCGTACTAATCTATGAAAGCAGTGGAGTCATGTGACTGAGTGGAAATCATGTGAAAATTTTACCACAGCAGTGGCCTTCCTGGATTTATATTTCTCATGCAGGGGTAAATCCAGAGGCTGGCTGAAGGAATTGCTCAGGAGATGTCCTGCTCCAGGCTGGTCCCTGGAGAGCACACTGGTTCATGCCGAGGTGAGGGCTCAGAGCTGAGATCCTACTCACTGTGTCTTGCAGACTCTTCTCCAGTACATTCTGGAGTCCCGAGGCTGGTGGCCCTACTTTCCCCATGTCCTGTAACTCTGGCTAGGAGAGTCCTTCCACTTGGGAGGAAGAAGATGTTTCCTGAGGACAATGAAAGGAGTCTGTAAGCCAGTCGGTGTCCCTAACTCAGCTGTGCGTGCACATACGCTGCAGTGTCCCACACTGTCCCTAGGGCTGTTAAGGGCTCTCCTTAGGATCTGCTTGCTTACCAGGCTGCTCCTTTTTGGTAGAAAACGCTCTTTCCTCCTCGGGCCTAGTAAGAGAGCAGATCCTAGTAAAAGAGCAGGAATGTTCTTAGGTGCTGTTGTTTTGAGGGAGTAGAAAGCAAGGTTCATCCTCTCAGAGTGCTCAGAACAAGCTCAGGGGCAGGGGGAGGGATCCGCTGTCTGAGGATTAAGGAGGGATGAATAAAAGTGTTGTAAATGCCTTCTTGAACATGAGGAACTAGGAAGTGGGGACATCCTGGATATTTCCATTGTTTAAAGTTGTTATTGTCTTCTTAAAATTTTTACTCTCCTTGGTGTGCAAGACCCCCCATAGTGAAACCAAGGGCACAGAGCTAGGGAAGGAGGGCGCCAGGCTTGGCGCCACCCTCCTGAGCCAGCAGAGGGCAGCAGTAGTGGTGAAGGCAGCACTGAGAAGGACTGGCTGATCCTGGCCACAAGGTTAAAACTGAGACCTGAGAACAGGTCTGGTGTCCAGGGAAAGATGCTCCAAACAAGGATGGTTTGTGTAGTCCTTACTGTTTCCTGAAGGAGCTTCGGGCAGATCTTTCATGAACTGGTATGGAATGGCTGGTCTGTAAAGACATTTTTCTTCATTTGTTCTTCACAGCTGAGCACAGCTCAGAGTCACTCAGAGTGAGGGGCTATGTACCAGGAACAAAGAAGATTAAGCTCTGCCCCCAAATCTAAGAGAATCACATCTGTAATGCGGGTCTTCCGCTGCTTCATCGTTAGTGGGCCGCTTCACAAGCTGCAGAAAGGTGCCCAGGAGGGTGCCACGGGGCTCTGCTGTCCGTCCACACACCGCTCATGGACCTGCAGTGATATTATTGCTCCAAGCCTGTGGGAGGGCTTTGGTCTGGAATCTATTTGATGATACCTCACTAGGTGCAGATGGGGAGAAGGAGAAAAGGAGGCTGAAGTAGATCCACTTTGCTCAGCTGCGCCTCCCATCTTTGGTCATCTTTTGTGAGAGGACACAATTAGAAAGGGCTTGCTGAGCTCCTGATCATAGGAAAAGGTCCTCTGGGAAGTCCAGGGCTGGGTGTCCAGCGTGTTTCATATTTACCACTGCAATCTCATTATCTCAATCTCTTGAAATGAGGTTGAAATAAAATTTGAACTTGAAATGAAATTACTATCAATGTTAACACTTACCTCCTCCAGCTGTGATCTTTAGGATCAAGTAAAGCTCATTTTAACAGTCATTGAGCATCTACCTGAGGCAGACTCCTCTCTTTCCCTTTCCCCCTCTCCATCCTCTTTGTGTATATGCGTGTATGTGTGTTGGAGGGCATCATTGAGGTGTGAAGATGTAGAAGACTTGAAATGTTTCAGAAAATCAGGACTGTATCAGGTAGAAGCCATGCAGCACCAAGGCACTTGGAAGACAACAGCTTTACTTATGCCAGCAGGCTAGGGGAAAATTTAGTTTCCAAATCCCAGCCCTGGCTTAAAGTAAAGCAGCATCATATATACTTTTTGTAAGCAGGAAGTACAGAGTTGATAATGGGTTAGTTTATAATTGGTTACATACATAGGGTAGTCTACAATTGGCTATGTATATTTTGTTGTACACTGTCAACCAGAAGTGTCCAAGGTAGGTTTACTTGGAGGGGGATTGTTCATTATGGAGCAGAAAGATGAGGTGTTTGTTATAGGCTGGACAAGCAGACAAGATTTAGTGTGACTTTAACAGGACTAGTCTGTTTCTTGGGTAGATAGTCCTTGAAACAGCTTGGGAAAACAAATATATTTGCGTAGAGCATTGTGCAGTTGGTCAACTCAATTATTTCTGAGTTGCAGCTGTGTGGCCAAGGACAGCCGAGTCTGGCTGCTTAATTAGGAAGGTATAAGTCTTTAAGAAATGTTTACAGCTTATTCTCCACTACAGAAGGAGTACACTCTGGTTCAAGTGGGAGTGGAGTGGGGTTGCTGTTGTTTACTCACAGAGCTACAGTGTAGGAAGATGTGACAGAAGTTTTATCACCATGCTGTGAAAGCCAAGTTGAGATTTAGGTGGGGTGGGAGGGTCAAGGAAAATCTGAGGAGTAACCACCTGCATGGATGTCGTGTAGGGGATTTGTCTCATTCTGGGACTTTCCTTTGCCTACACCTGCCTATGGTAGTTTATTCTGTTTGGATGGATACTTCACTCTTCTCTTCCCTTGACCAACATGACTGCTGGGATTGTTCACTGGGCCAGAAAAAGGCTTCCCCTGTTATTCAAAGTAGCATAAGGGAAACCTTTTTGAAGTGTGTGCCTC